GGAGAAAGACATCCAACTCAGCTCTGCACACACATAATGGAGATCTACTATTCCTCCTTTCCTGTTCTTTTTCGTTGGAAATCTATTTTTTTGAATTTTTCTCTGAAACTTCAGGAAATGAGGAACCCTTTTTCTTTTCTTTTTTTTTTTTAACGAGTCGAAGGTCCGCAATTCATGCACATTTTCTTCGCGAGATTATTTATAAGCCCAAAAATGGATATGGAGCCGGGCCCATAACGACCTGTTTTTTTTTTTCTATAAACAGGTCGTTATGGGGCCCGGCTCCATATCCATTTTGGGGGGGAGCATCAGTCTCCTTCCTATTCCACCAGTGAGTCAAAATAAACACGACATAGCCACTCTTGATGCTTCCCCCCATTGCGCCCCAAAAAAAAACCAGACAGCATTGATTGCTTTCTTCAGAAGGATTGACTGTCAGTTAAGCCCACACTTGCGTTCTGCATCCCAATCTAAACAAAAGCACTGTAATCAGTTTGGCACACTGTAATTTCGCAGTGGACCTCACAGATTCAGTGTTATATATCATTGGTGTGGGATGCCCGGGCCTTCCGCACAGGCCGCCAGTGGGGGAAAAAAGGGGGTCTTGTACTCTTGGGCTCTACAATCTTCCGCCGAATACAACGTACGGTCATTATAGCTGAATTTGGTCTATCTTTCCGTCTAAATTCAGCTATAATGACCGTACGTTGTATTTGGGGGAAGACTGTAGGGCTGTGCAACCCCCAGTTTGGGCTGCCTTAGGGCTGCAGTGTATATTTTGCGGCCTTGGCTCTTTTTTTTCTTTTTCTTCTTTTTTTTTCCTTTTTTTCTTTTTTTTCCTTTTTTTTTTTCTTCTTTCTTTTTTTTCTTTTTTTTAAGGAAAAAAGAAGCTGTCTTCTCCTCATATTATGGCCCTTGTTCCTGAAAAAAAGCTGCGCTAGGGCTGTCTCCTCCTCCTGTACCTCTCCTCCCCCCTCCATATCGGCCTTTTCCCAGGCTCCAACTCAACATTGTACTGGAGACCGCTCCCAGGTTCCAACTCAAAATTGTACTGGATGGGGGAGGTGCAATGACCCGCCAAAAACACAGACTGAGAACACTGCTGATTTCTGGGATTTGCCGATGGAATGAATGCCTTGCTGAAATTCCCGCATTCTGCTGTGATTTCCATGTCTGTGTGTGTGCGTGCCTGCTGGTTTGCATGCCTGTCTGAGTGCTTGTCGGTTAAGTGTGTGTATGACCCGCAAGGGTACTTGTTGGTTGAAGGGCCCCGCAGGGCCGGTACTTACCTGTGGCCGTGACTTTGAGGGTTGCAGGGGGGAAAACACTCAAGTAGCGGGGATAGGCTCCCAACACTTAGAACAGCGGGGAAAAACACTCAAGTAGCAGGTAGGCCGGTACCACTCAAGTAGTGGTAGGGGTGTCGGGTACTGGAGGCCGAGCAGAAGAAGACAAAAAGTTGGCATTTTTAGAGGCCCAGTAGCGGTAGGATAGCGGTAGGCCGGTACCAGTCCAAGTAGCGGGGTCTAGGGCCTGTATGGAGGATAGCAGAGCCTGCAATGATGTTTCCCTCCGAAAGGGAGGAGGTACCGGTTGCTGGGAGGCCGCTYGGCCTAGGAAGTCACCGCCCAGGAGGCCGGTAGCCCGCTATATTTCCAGGAAGAGCAAAGAGCTCTTCCTCATTTGCGGTGTGCAAGGATTGGCGACATGCTGCTGGATCGCAGCGCTGGACTGGTGCAGCGCTGCTTGGAGGAGAAGGGGCGCTGGAGCTCAGCCCTGGCTATGGCGAGCAGTCCAGCTTGAGGAGGAGGAAGAAGGGGGCATGGTAGGAGAGTGGCGGGGCACTTACCTGGCTATGGTAGACACCATCTTCATCACCTTGTTGGGCGCTGCAGCTGGAAGGCCCCAGTTGGGGTAGTGCRGCACCAAGAAAGCTCGAGGCAGARTCAGGCATGGCGGACCAGTCAGCAGCGGCATAGCTGCTTTGGGTTGTCCTTTGGACATCGGCGCAGCACCATAGCTGCTTTGGGTTRTCCTTYGGACGTCAGGGCAAGGCCCTCATTAGTCCGCCATAGCCTATGCATGAGAGAGGAGGCTGAAGGAGGGAAGCCATAGCTATGGTGGACTGGTTGTTGTTGTTGATGTTGTTGAGTTGAGTCAGCAGTAAGAGGGAACTTCGGATATTGATTCTGGTTCATCCATTCATTGTTATTATTATTATTGAGAGAAGAATAAGATT